GTCGTCGTCGTCTTACCAATTTGTAGCTGCTCCTTCTGCGGCAGTCGCAGTGATGTAACAGCATTGTGTTGACAACAAATTCGATTTTAGCACCAGCCGCCAGCAATTATAATAATATGCTTACTTATACAATATTCCAGATTAACTCCCACCAGTTTGTGGTGGCTGTTGTTGTTGTTGTTGATGTTGCATCTACATAAAAAGAATTTACATAATTTCATTTGCTTTGAGCAGACGACATTTGCGTCAGTGGCGAAGTGACGACATGAAGCGTAGTGGAGTGGAGTGAGGGAGGGCTGCTGTGAGATGTTAAATTTGAGCGGGGTTGGCTGAAGTGGTGGCGTTTCGCAGCTTTGAAGAGGTTAAGTGCGTCATTGTTTGAGTTTATGGCATATTGATGGGCGTTGCAGCGACTTTAAAATTGACACGGGCTGGATGCTCGATTCGAATGGGGGATGCGTCGATGAGGCGAGTTGAGGTCACAATTACGCTGTTGCCGCTTCTGGTACGTTTGGTGTGAGATGCCGAAAAGTGCTGGAAAATGATGTTTTTGATTTTGATTATGCAAATTTAAATGTTGGAACAATGTTGGCCACTTACAACACGAGAAAAAAGTACTCACACACTTCCACCGTCATCAAGGTTGTAAGCGGCAACTGTCGCTGTTGTTGTTGTGCTCGCGGGGTGCTGATGGTTGAAAAAAATAAATACATATACATACTTTAATCTTTAAGAAGAAGTTCGTTTACTTCTTGGCTTGGCATTTTTCAAAAGCTAACGGTCTTTAATTTGTTTGTCATACAGAATTTCTATATCTAAGAACCACCAATAATTTTTATTATAATTAAGTAAAGGTAAAAAAAAGCTCCGCTCCGCATCATTAGTGTTTACAGCCACAGCTTGCATACCGCAAAACGTACCGATGGGAATAATTTCACACAGAAACATTCAAAATGGTCAAATATTCTGGGATATTCCCGTTACAAATCGTTAAACAATACAGTTGACTGGATCCGTTGAAGGATGACACAATCTTCTAATTGATGCTGTTACAGTTCAGAGGATTTGTTTTCAAAGTACATAAATGGAGACTCTATTTGCATCCTGTATACAAATAGTCATTCTTATTTCATTGACCAATTAAATTACAAATTCATATGCACATACATACCAAGAAGCAATCGGGGAAAGAGGAGACCTTTCAGGGACATACATAGTTTGCCTATCAACTTTAGACGCTGCCAGATTAGTAAAACAATTGGCGGAAGATACACTCAGTGATGAAATGTAGAAGGGAGCAGCAAAGGAGTTAGGCTTGCTGGTTAGCCCCGAAGTAAAAAGTGCACTCAACACCGCAAGTTGACGCTCTACGCAGTTTCGAAATTCTTGCATATCACCGCAAAATTGTAGACAATTACTTAGCAAATAGAGTGCTAATGTACAATACTGAGGACGGTGTCAAAGAGCATAAACTATCTGCTGGAGTGGCACAAGGATCGATCCGGGCCATAAAAAAAAAAAAAATTTATGAAGATCTGGGAACGAGACATATGTATATAAAAGTAAAAAATCACAGAATATTTTCTGCCCGAAAAAATTTCGTCAAATGTTGTCTCTAATTTTCGCCTTAAAAGGCAGAAAAGCCTACTGGGTCAAAATAATAAGTCAAAATTTAAGTAAAATTTGCTTCTCCTTGGCATATGTATAAATCTCCTACAAACGTTTTAACCGTTACTTTACGCTGAAAAATTTTATGACTTAAGGAGCCGATTTTTCAACGCACGGTTTAATCTGACTCAATTCTTTGCTCGAGTTTAAACTAAAGTTAGCGGATGAAATCTCAGCCAGCTGTTGAACGCGAACGCAACTTACGTCATCTAAGTTCAAACCGGCACTGAAAAACTGACCCTAAGACATTACGATGGCTTACAGGCTAACCTAATATTCGCGGCTTGCGTTTTGGTACGCATGCCGTCGAATTTGTTTTTTTGCGTCACCCGAAATTGACTTGCATGCGTTTGCATTTGATTTCATTGAGCGAAACGTCAAATCAAAATGTCACGCAGAACAAAAATTGGAAATTGAGTTAGCTTCATACGCACGCCGTTCAATTTCGGTTGATCTCATACAAGTTGCATGTGCATGAGAAATTTTTGACAATAAGTTGGCGGCGTGCGTGAATATTATGTTAGCCTGTAAGACGTCTGTGAATCCAGATAAAACGATAATTATGGGACAAAAATTCAGAATGGCCTTGGTTCAATTTTCCAAAGAAGATTCAACTATACCCTAACAAAATCGCAGAAGAGAACGAATTAGAGCGAATAAAAATTTATATCCCTCCTATTCGGTTGTTCTATGTTCTTTGCCTATTTTTGGCGCAAGAGCTCCGAAATAACATGCCTCGATTACTTATTTACGACTATTAAGGGCCATTTTCACTGTGAACAAGTAACTTTGCGGATTTTCAGTACGATGCAGTGTTGCCACGGACAAATTTTTATTCCTACCAAAGTTCCCTGCCAAAACCAACCAAAACCTA